ATTTTGGTTGCTCCGATCCGTATCCCGATAACTGCCTACGTCAGGCTGTGTTCACGCTCCCAGCCTCCTAAAAGGTCGCTCCTCGCCCGGCGTCGATGCTAACTGCTACCCTCCTCTGCCTCTGCTTTCTTTCTAGGTGAACTGACATGAACTAATAGCGACCCGATAACTAATTTGTGTAATTAATTAAATTATAGCTAATAATCAACGTGTGTAATTACACCTCTCCCGTTTCTAAATGCTCCAGCTGCTGTTTGCCTCTTAAAAACTGCAGAGGTACCTTCAGCGAGGTTCCCATGATGATTCCCGGTTACTATTCCCGTGGCTTGAAAAGAGCTGGAGAAAGATGAGGATTAAAGGACAGGGGTGCTGCACGTGCCCTGGGAAGCTCCTCTCGTGTAGGTGAGGTGGAGCTCCATGCGTGGCTGGAGGGGATCCCTCAACTGCAGAGAACGGTTCCCAGGACCACCCTCCAGCTCCACTGGGACAAAGTTACTATTGAACTGAAGATAAGCCCCGAGGAGATTTATCCCGATGGCTTCCAAGGGTGCAAGGGTGTGATTCAGGTCCAGGCAGGGCAGTCTGGCGATGACAGTTTGATTTCCGTGAGGGGAAGAGTGCCCTAAAGATACTTGCTGGAGGAGCGCTGGGTATCTGCTGGTCCACAAGAGAAGACTAATGTTGTCTAGCAGAAATTAGAGCAGAAGAGTGCTGAGGGATCTAAGCAGAGGATGTGACAAGCGCTATGGCAAACAACTTGAAAATGCATGGCATCGCCGCATTGTTTTCTATGCATCTGTAAGATCAGCATACCACCTCCTGTGTGCATCTTCAGCCCTGCTGAAGGTCCCTACCCCTGCTTTCAGAGAGCTGTTGCTCCAGGAGCTCAGTCGGTGAGCACTTGACTTTTCAACAGGCTCACGCTGCTTTTTTTCGTTGTCTGTTGTTTGCAGAGATGGTTGTATCAAAGCTGTGGGCCAGGCAGATGTTATTCGCAATCAGTTTTCAGGAGCAACGTTTGAAAGGATAATCGACTGCTCTGGGAAGTGTGTGTTACCAGGTAGGTGTCTTTTCTTGTAATGATAAAGTGCCGAATGGTGGCAAGTGCTTAGAGACAAAGTAAATGTGTATTAAACATCCCTCCATTCTTTTGCCTCTGTATTCAGCATCGGTTTGATAATATCTCATGTTGAGGGGCAGAGTATTGTAACTTCCTCATTGGGAGTGCTGCAAGCAGAAAATTGCAGCACTTCGGATGTTTTTTTGGCTTCATGGTGGAGCTTTGTCTCCTCTTGGTTCGTCTTAACGTCTGTTCCTCTGTGTCATAGGTCATAATGGTAACATAGCCGGCCCGCTGAGTGGCTTTTCAGATTTACCACTATTTTCCCATCAGCCGTTCAGCCATGGACCTCAGTCCATCCTGCCCGCAGCCAGTTGGAGGCAAAGGGGTAGTGCAGGATTTTAAGTCACATACTCTGCAACTGTTCCTGATAAAAAAATAAACCAAGGCAAGTCAATTGTGTGTTAAACTTTGCAAGTGGTGTTAACACACGAGCTGTTAGACCTCCGTTTTGTTTGCAGTGAGCTTGGGCGTTCAGTAGTGTTGGTTTCACAGCTCATAGAAAAAGCTCCTGCTGGAATAAGTGGTCTATTGCTAGAGTAAGTGCTAGCGTGCTAAGACAAGCCTAAGCACTTTGCTTTTTTTAAAGAACACAGACTTAAAGTCTAATGAACTATTTAAAAGTTTGTAATTTATCACTTCTTCCAGTTTGCAAATGTCGTCGAAACAACATGAGAAACTGAGCAGCTGGTGCATTTACCTAGAGACATTTTGCATAAGGTGTCAGCCAGTACACCTAACAAATTTGAAAGAAAATGAATAGCCTTTGAGGAAAATCCTAGATTTTTGGCTGGTTGGATTTTTGTTTTTCTCTAACCAATAGAGGCTTTATGGGGAGCTTCTGCTGTCCATTTCATTTGCTTGCATGTTCATAAGCTTTTCACTTACACAGTGAAATAACCTGAGTGTACATTTATTTGTTTTCTTTAGGCCTGGTAGATGCACATACACACCCAGTGTGGGCTGGCGATAGGGTTCATGAGTTTGCAATGAAGGTAATGGCATAAAAGTACACAGCTGGATTTTTCTTCCTCTTTTTTTTTATGCATAACTATTTCTACTTTCTAGTGACTCCCATCTTTCATTTGTAGAAAAAAATGTAATTCCTGTCAGATGATCTAACTGAGGGAGGAGGGATGATTTTTGAATACTGGTAGGCTTAGAGAGGCGTGTAACTGCAGCCTTTGCAACCAGCCTTGATACATTTTTGCATTAATTGAAGCAATATAGGAGTGCCACCTTCTATTACCATCTAAATCTTTGCTTTATTTTTTCTTTTTTTCCACATAAATGAATTTTTTGAGCTAGAGATAGATTTTCCCCTTGGGCTCAGGGAGAAGCAAATCTTCAGAATAATTCTGTTTAAGTTGCTTTTTTCATCATATCTTAAGTGGAGGGGAGAGAAAAGGGGGAGGGAGGAAGAATTAACGGAGATCTTTTTCTCCCTTCTTTTTCTCTCTCACTGCAAAGAGACCTCAAGGCACTTTCCAGAATCCCTTGGATAGAAAATATGCTAATTGTATTGGGGGTGGGTGGGTTGGTTTTTGTTTTCTTTTGTCCCCAAGCTGGCAGGTGCATCCTATATGGAGATCCACCAGGCTGGGGGAGGAATACATTTTACCGTGGAACACACTCGGAAGGCCACAGAAGAAGAGCTGTTCGATACTTTCAAACACCGACTAGAACGCATGCGCAGAGCAGGATCTACGTTGGTTGAGTGCAAGAGTGGATATGGCTTAAACTTAGAAACAGAGCTCAAAATGCTCAGGGTGATCGAACGCGCTAAGCAATCCATGGATATTGGCATTTCTTCAACGTACTGTGGAGCTCATTCTGTGCCGAAGTAATATGGCTTGATTTTTTCTTGCTCTTGTTAAGTATTACTGCTTTGCATTGGAAATTGGCTGTTATTTTCAGAAAGGTTTCTTCTTCCCAGCCCTCCTAAGATATAACATATTTAAAACAATAGCCAGTATTTACAGAAGGCTCTCTTAAATTTTAAGTTAAAGGAAGATGGGGAAGCGGCATTTTATGGCTGCCAAGTGTCAACATAAGCTTAGCACGGAATCCCTGCCTCCAGCTGATGCTCACACTGAACATTATCCAGGTTACAGGGTTTCCTGTACAGAAAGTTCTTCTTGGGTTTGCTGCTACCCTTCAAGCTTAGTCTCTGCCATGAGCATTTATTTTGACCAGCTAACAGAAAAAAAATACTGTGTTTAATCCTTATACACCTCGGTAAACAAAGCTTAATTATGCTTCCATGCAGTGAAGAATTGCATACATCTTATAGGTATGTGATGAGTAGAAGATTAAAGTAAATGTGCTTAATCGCAACTATTTTGGTGGCTCAGGCAGACATACTGTAACAAGCCTTTCTCACTTTGACATTTTTTCCCCTATGATGAAAATAACACCTTCAAGTTACCAGATTTCATTGTATGAAAGAATTAATGAGTTTTAGTTAGATAGGTGTACATGAAATGTATGTTTTGCCAGACTAAGTGGTAGGTTGCTGCAGAACAAGGCACATAAGATGGAGACAGGCCTAGCATCACAGGGATACTGTGGCAATATTTAAGAGGTGTTCATTTTTTTTTTTAAAAAAAAAGCATACTCCAAAAAAAATTAACTCTTCTGACATTCAGGAAAACATGACCTAAAAAAATCTATTTGCAATCTCATTAGATTGTGTATTTGGGGCAGGGTGGCAAATTATCTTTTGTTAATGTAACTATTCAAAAGGAATTCTGTATCATCTTCAGTAACTGGAAGATGGTTAAGAATAAAGTAACTGAAGTCTACTGAAAACACCAAATATTTCTTTCAAGAAGTTGTACTAAAATTTGGAGGACTTAATGGTAAAATAAAATCAAGGTTTTACCCCAAACTATGTATATTTCTTAGCCCTTCTTTTCCTCCTCCCCTAAAAAGCCTTGGGAGTATTTCAGTCAAAATCCTGATAAATAGTATTTCCCACCAAAATATTTCAAACATTTCTATAAACTCAGGAAATAAATTCCAGTGTTTTTATAAATATATCAAATCTTATGTGTTAGAAAGACAGGTGTACCGTGTCTTCGCACGATTCTGTCCTCACTGATGCACATCAAGCATAACAAAACGTAGGTAGTGAGGATATTTTATTTTAAGTAGGGAGAAAAGGTAGTTGGGAATTTGAGGAAATTTCCTGAAGGAAATGCTGAATTTTCTGTATTTTCCAGTTTGGGTCTTCTTAAATCCTCTTTGCTTTTCATTCAAATGTTCATGTCTAGAATATTTTGCTTGAATTTTCTGCTACCCATGATTGACACCAAACCGACCTTGCTCTGCACCAGGGGTTGGATCAGATGAGCTCCAGAGGTCCTTACAAACCCAGTTATTCTGTGGGACTATGATACGGTGCACTGTATCTTTATGAAGTATGCGCCAAACGGTGCAGGCTTCTTTAGCCTGAGCCATCCTAGAGAAAAATAAGGCTGCTCTGTTTATAGTGATCCTTGTTCCCATCCATTGCTTTTAAAAATGTTTCCAGCCTCAGAACTTCCAGTTCTTTAGGAAATGAACCTAAAAAGCTCACAGCAGGGGGGAAAAGAAATAACTGCTCTGCCATCCCTCCAGTCATCATTCTGAATCAAATTAATGATTTTGACGTTGTCTGATTTTTATTTATTTATTTATTTATTTATTATTTTTTTATTGGCAAAGCTTCGCTGGGCCCTTTCCTTTTTTTTTTTTTTTTTTTTTTTTTGTTTGGCAAAGCTTTGCTGGGCCCTTTCATCTTTAAGAAGAAATTTTCAAATTGATTTCCTGAGCAGAAGTCTCTTGCATTAGAACAATGGCAGTTTTGAATTCTTGGGCATTATGGCCCCCCCAAAAGTGAAACCAAGACTTATGTTTCCCTCTGTTTTTTCTTGTCTCTGGTGCTAATCTTTCAGTCCAAATTCCTCCAAAGGCTGCAGAGTAAGAGAAGAAAAGGGAGCAGGCTTGGCATGGTAAAAGCTTGAGCAACCCCAACGGCTGTTTCAGTGAGAGGTGAACAGAAGGCCCATAAGCCAGGTTCTGCTCTGCTTTATAACCACACAACCTCGTTTATAAATCCGAGCAGAATTTGGCTTCTTGAATTTACTGTCACTGTGAAACTCCCAACTCACCCACATGTGGTACTCGGAGAATGCCGGTCTGTGCATGCTTTCCAGTGCCTGAAATGAGGATTGAGATGTCACAGACATTTAGCTGCAGTACGTCACTTATCTTTAGATCTTAAAATTGCAAAATACTAACTCAACTGCAGATTTGGGGATTGTTTGCTCTTTCAAAGGCTTTCACTGATCTCTCGTGGGTTATCTTTGAGTAATAGAGGGTTTATAAATGGTTCTGGTTTTGCCAAATTGAACCTCAGGAGGCCGCACTGATTTAGAAAGAGTTCTCTAGCTATCACTCTGAATGATACAAAAGGAGGAGAGATAAATTTAAAATAATGATTTGTGCTGCATGTCCCCTTTGAGCTTTGATACTTGCATAAAAATATTTCATTAATACTGTTTAAAATATTTAAATAACCATTTGCATATTTTAAATAGTTGTGTTTTAGAATACAGTATAAGTAGGTCAGAATATATGAATAGGAAAGCAGAAGAATTAGTTTTAAAATTCACATGTCTTGGTTAGCATCCAGGAAGGTAATATCATAAAAAATATCTAGTAATACAATCTCATATTCTTTGAATGGAAAGTAATTGGTGTTTGAGAGTGCATGAATTACAGTAGTTTTAAATTTTTTAATCTGAAGGGGTTTTGAGTGATTTGTGTTTGCATCATTTTTTAAAATAATCTAGTAACTGCATGCACAGTTTGAATGTTTGCCAGACTTCAAGGATGTTATGGGTCTGTAACATTTTCTTTTCATTAGAGGGAAGACAGCTACTGAAGCCGCAGATGACATTATCAATAACCACCTCCCTAAACTGAAAGAACTCAAACTAAGTGGTGAAATACATGTTAACAATATAGATGTGTTCTGTGAGAAGGGGGTCTTTGATCTGGATTCTACTAGGAGAATTCTTCAAGCTGGAAAAGATATAGGGTTACAGATTAACTTCCATGGTGATGAACTCCATCCGATGAAATCTGCTGAGGTATGTCTTTCTTAACATTCGGTTAAGCCATTTTTGCTTTTTTGCTTTGCTTTTGTGAGAGCTGGATTTTTGAAAGAATCACAGCTTTCAAAAGCAAGGTTTTCTTTTCCAAGACTTTATAAAATAGGCCATTCATAGACTTCTATTTCTATCAGACGATAGAAAGTGCAGCCCTTGTGCAGCTTTGGAGTTAAGGACAGGGAAGGAAGCCTTGACCTCTGGGATTAACAAGCACTGCCTAATCAAACATTGATTTTGCTTATCTTCCACATGGGATATAGATGGGGGAGGTGGATATCTGTGAACCCAAGAATGACAAAAACATGGTTTCTCCGCAACTTGAAAAATCTTTTTTCCTTAAACGTCCCCTTAGCAGTGACAAGTCAGATGTGCAGTGAGCACACTCAGAGGGATGATTTAGTCAAGAATAGGCTCCCAGATATCTTGATCAAGAAAGTCACTCTGAGACCATGTTTCACCATCATTTAAATATTGCTTCCTTCTTGTGGGGTCTGCTCAAGTTGTTCTTTGCTGTATTTAAAAACAAACAAACAAACCAAAAAGTTGATTGATCATAAAAACCTTTTTGGTGCTTCACCATTGAAAGCAGCAGTTGCGCTACTAGTTCTGCAACCAGTGTCAGTTTTGTCAACCCTTTTCTGCTGGATACTTTGTGAACAAGAGTGGTTTAATCCATAGCTGTCCCATAGTTTGCATGTTAGTCTGTTAAAACCGCCACTGAAGGTGCACTTCCACCCCATGGATGTTTAATACCTTTTTGCGATCAACTTTTCCGGCAGTAAATTAGCAAATATTTTGTCTCTGCATTTTGTTTGTTCTTTCAACCATTGGTTATTTTTTTTTCTTTTCGTTAATTTTATCTTAAAAGTGAATTGTCTCCTCCAGTCATTTGATAACAACACTGCTTTACTGAATTAATTGAGAACAGTGAGTAATTTTCTTGAAAATTTGCTTAGCTTGGCGCTGAACTGGGAGCCCGGGCTATCAGTCACCTGGAAGAAGTTAGTGATGAAGGTATCACGGCAATGGCAAGAGCTAAGTGCGCCGCTGTCCTTTTACCAACAACTGCCTACATGCTAAGGTAAGGCCACTAGATTGGAGGAAAACTTTTGTAACAGCAAAACCATGTTTGTGGTTTTAGGGTCTTTTAATGTAAAAGTGGAAGCTTGTATCTATGCCTTAAGGATCAGGCTGGATTGGTGAAGAAAATCACAAATACAAAGAGCTGAATGAGCCTACTCGTGTCTTGGTTTTGGTGGTGATTCTCAGAAACGAAGCAATGCCCTACTTCTCAGAAGTCTCACAGTAGATTTTGAGTGGTTCAGTCAATGCTGGAATTTAAGCCTTATGAAAGGCCAAGGTGATAATCAGGCATTGATTTAAGAAGAAAACTAGACTGGTTCTCTTTAAGCCAGTTAGCCTTTGAAAACTGAATTGACTTCTTTTCAGGCAAATTATGTCTGCAATATATGTGTTTGCTCTCTTGCAGAGGTTTTGCTGGGAAATGTATCCTTTGGTTATCTAAAGCACTGAAGGTCTGTGGGTAGCATTTTTAAAAGCTCATCTGATTTTACCCAGGCAGCACTGAGGAGAATTGCCTTAAGAACACTCTTTTCCATGTGCAGGTATTCCAGATAAGCATAGATGGATCACCTGCTTACCCTTAATGCCAAAAATAAGCCAACTCGGTGATGAGGACCATGACACAATAAAACCTTCCGTCCTGTGTAGAGAAGATCCTTGAGCTAATTTTGGTTTATTTTCAGCAGCCTGCTTTCTGAGGCATCGAGGCTCGTGCTGTTGCCACCTGTGTTCATGTCTTCATCCATGCCTGTGTTTCTATTTGCGGTTAGCTATCCATGTCCTGCACCAGTGCTTTTGAACCACCAGCTGATTGCAACTCCATACACTGCCAGAATACAGATCTCAGGGAGGACGTGTGGTCCTGCAAACAGACCCCAGGCAGGGAGGTGAAGGAGACAACAGATGCAGGCACCTGTGGAAAAGGCTGCGCTGTAACTCACGTGTTACTCCAGAGACTCCATGCGGTGGAAAGTTTATAACCTCAGGATAAGTCTAAGACGGGGATAATAACGAGCCATAGGAAATGAGGTCTCATTTGTTACAGTGTCTGGTGCACTATTTACTGAACACAGGCCTCCCAGTCTAATATGCTCTAAAAACGAAGAAGAGATGTAACAGATAACTGCTTAAAAGAGTATCAGAGTGCCGAAAGCTGTGCAGCATATGAGAAGTTGCTATGAGGCGATGTGGTACATCCTTTGCTGGCCTCCCTCAGCTCCTTCAGTACCACTTGTAATTGCTCAGACCTCGGGACGTCCTGCCCCTATTCTCTCCCCTGGTTTTAAGAAAAGCAGTAGCGGCCAGGGCTTCACCTGATGGCCAGAAGTGGTCCACAGAGTCTGGCTGGGGAGTTGCTTAATGGCTAGTCTTTGCTAACCATTGCCTGCAGGACTCCTAGGGAGCCTGGCAGCAGGGCACAGCAGAGGATGCAGAGGCTGGAAGGACCTGTGAGGATGGGGAAAGGCTCTTCAGACAAATCTTTTTAAACACGGTTAACTCCCAGAGCATCGTTTTGTGCAGGAGCAGGTGGTATTGTCTTGTAAGTCTGTTAAGAGGCTTTTATAGGGAGAGGGTTGTCTTGTACCAAACGTAAGCACTTCATTGAGATGTCATTTGTTGTTCTTTTCTGTTAACTGCAGTGCTTTTAAAACTACTTTTTGAGCAGCAGATGCTATAATGTTTCATTTTTATTGTTACATGATGTTTGGCACCGTTTGCTTTGCAGCAACTATGGCTAAAACTTCTCAGAGAGTTTATTTCCTAGTGCCCACCTTTGCAAACACCTACCCAGATTAACCCAGTGGCTGAACAATTTTGAAATGGCTATTCCAGATATTGAAGTTATTGAAGATTTCTTTTGCAATGATGTTGCTAAGTGAGAAAATCCTCTAATGTATACAAAATAAATTCACAGCCTCAACTTAGTTTTTTGAATTGCCAACAGAATCAGGACAGGACTATTGCATTGCTTATGCCACTGCTCATATTTGGGAGCCTGTCTTTGAAGCTATAATGATGAGAAAATAACTTTTTTGAGCAATGAAGATTTTCACCTTGTAAATCCTTAGGTGGCTGAGGTCTGGATATATACCAGAATTTCAGTGGCTGGGAGCCTGTTGCTTGGTACTGGCTGCTGCCACGTGCTGTTACTGCAGAAGTAGTGGAGCACGCTTCCCATTTATGCTCTGCGTACGTTAATAGGTAGGGAGCCAAGAGGAGAATTTGGCCTTTTGTCTCCAAAATAGTAACTGAAGGCATGAATGTAGCTATATGGAGTGATGGCTTTTGCTCTTGTGATTCATCATGTAATAACTAAGCGAGTTGTACTGATAAGTGTCTTTTTCCCACTAGACTGAAGCAACCTCAAGCTAGAAAAATGTTAGAAGAAGGAGTTATAGTTGCTCTTGGCAGTGACTTTAATCCTAATGCATACTGTTTTTCAATGGTAAGCTATTCCTAATACTTATTGACACCACAAAATTATGAAATCTCTTACCACTACAACCTGTGTATAGCTCTTGTGCACTTAAAACAGTGTTCGTATCTGCAAAGAGAGCTGTTGTGCCCAGCTTAGACAATTGCTCATGCTTATCTATGTGGGTTGGTAGTTTTTGCCAGAAATCCTTGAAACTAGAAGGGCTTTCTATTCTTCATATGCACTGCAAGACTTATAAATAAGGCTCTCAAAGTTCCTGATTTTAGAGTTCTCATTTAGGACTTGGCAAGATTTACATCATGCAGGACAACTCCTTCTGTTGCAAAAGGAGGGAGGAGAGTGCTTAGGGATTTGAGGCATGAACAGCTTTTTTGTGTTACTGGTAACTCCCATTTTCCACTTAACTTGCCTGCTAGCCTATGGTGATGCATCTGGCCTGTGTAAACATGAAGATGTCAATGAATGAAGCACTTGCAGCTGCCACCATTAATGCAGCTTATGCGCTGGGAAAATCGGACACGCATGGCTCCATAGAGACTGGCAAGCAGGGGGATCTTGTTATCATAAATTCATCAAGGTTTGTTCTTCCATTGTCATTTGAAACGTGATTTAATGTAAGAGACTTTGTTTTTCACCATATTGTGGATAGTGGAGTGGTTAGTGAATTCCTCATGCTTTAGAAGTTATTTTCATCTGAAAAAAGGGGACACTGCTAGCATTTTAGATCCACTTTCATTCACCTTAATCGCTCCAGTGGAAAGTAAAGCCTAAAACGTTTGGGGCTAATATTACAAATAATCCATGCCTAATTACAAATTATCTGAAGATAATACCTCTTTATTTTGTGAAAGGAATTCTCTACTGAGTTGTACATTAACTTACTGTATTCATGCAACAAGAGATCAATTCGTAAGCATGGAATAGTGTTTTCCGATAGTTTGATTTTGTACTTTTGGCAAATCTTTTGTAATCACCGGGTAAAGTAGTTGTGTGACCTGCTTTTAAGCAAGTCTGGATATTCTTAAACATTTTGTTGTCTTTTTTAGGTGGGAGCACTTGATTTACCAGTTTGGGGGACATGAAGCCTTGATCGACTATGTTATAGTTAAAGGAAAAGTCGTCTATCAAAATGAGAGGTGTGGGACAATGAGCAGTTACTGAAAGAAGACAGTAATTTTGGAAGCTACTATAATCAAATTAACATGAAATATTTCAAAGCAAGAGGCAAATCAGATTTGTATTTACTGGTAAGTTGCTTGCCTGCTCACCTTACCAGCCCTCTTATCAAATAAACTTTACCAAGCATTACCTATCTGGTGCATCTTCACATCCGTTGTCCTTCTCTCTCCAGCATAAAAATAATTTCAGATTGTATCTATCTGAAATAAGGCAGTTTCCAAAAATGTTTTCCTATACAATTTTAATCTATAAAATTATTATACTTGAATAAAAAAAAACCCAAACAAAAAGCCACCAATGAACGAAGAAGCTTGGACCCAGGTAAGATTTATAGGGAAGAGTGACGTTAAGTAACCTGTGACGGAGGGCCAGGGGCACATTTGGAATGGCGCTTGGTGGTGCCAGGAGGCCACAGCATCCCGAGGAAATGCTCGTAGCTCCTGGGGCTGCTCAGTCTCAAACTTGGCAGATACCAAGAACCACAGTCGTGGTAGGAGGCACAGTGTCTTACTGTCTGAAATACCAAGTCTTATGGTTTCTGCAGACTTGAAACTCAGTGGGAGCCAGCAGCTGGGAGCCCAGCGAGGTTCTGCTTATCAGCTGATCTGCACCTTCCTCCCTTGGAGTCTCTCGCAGCTCCTTTGGGGCTGTAGGGGCACAAGAAAAAGGAGGCGAGGAAAATGCAATCAGGTACACCACTCACGGGGCGGCTGAAAGCTGGAGTGCACTGTGGGTTAGGAGTTGAATTAGGCCTACTGTTGGAAATTAGTGATGCCAAAACCTTACAGTTTACCCCTAGCGGCAGTTAACCCAGTGAGGTTATGGTCTGGTGAGTACACCCAAGCTCTCAAAACTTCAATCACCTTGGAACTTAAAAGAAGAGCACCTGTAGTCTTGTACAGATGTTCCAAAAAGCCATGATCTCATTTATTGTAGGCTGAATCTGAAATGACATGAGACATATTTGTTCATGCAAATTTGCAGCTTCTGATGACACGTGGTGTATGATGACTCCTACTCAGAGAAATTTCAAAATTTAAGATCCTGGGTTTTTTAAAGCTGTCTTTCAGCTACTATTTTTTTTTTCTGGGGCTTGAACCATCATTGGAGGATGTGGCATCTAGAAAAAAGGATGATACAGCTCAGGAGTTGAAGCTGCTGCGGTGTTTAAGCAGAGGCTCTGGGGTAGGGAGGGTCTCTTGAATGCACACGGCTGAGGCTTTTCTTCAACTTTTCAAACGGATGGTGGCTGCCGAAACAAAAGGGCTTAAATTTCTGAAGGCAAAGTCATAAAACTACACCTGACAAGCATGAAGAACTTAGCATCAAAAATAATGTTGGTATAAGCAGGTGACATAACCTGTGGTACAGAGCAGAGTGCTTTAGCGAACCAGACCCCTGAGGAAGGACAACAGTCTCATTTTGATACTTGACAGATACTTGATAGCCATCACAAACATGTTTGAGCTTTATTGTGACCTTCTGATCTCCCTGAGCCTTGGGCACATCTGTTAACATCCCAAATATGTAACCCACCCCATAGATTAGCTTTGTTCAAGTTTTATTTGAGCCAGGCTAGCCAACTAAATCAGTTGTAAAAAACAATTTAATGG